TTCTAGTTTCAACTAAGTCAGTTCTTTACGGTCACATTGCATTAAAACAAAGCTCCGATTAAAGTCTTTACCGGAGCGTCAGACGGAGCAGTGCCTCCAGTTAGCATCACACTCCCAGTATCAATCCAGTTCAAGTATCAATTTGGGAATGACTGGCTCAGAAGACGCCTAGGGCACTCCAAAATTATTATTCAATTAAAAGCGTGTGAATTAAGTTTGGCTCAAATTGGATGTTTTTTTCCGAGGCGCACCTGGCAACGTGACACCTGGCAACCCGGCGCAGTGGTCTTCCCCAGATCGCTTGTTGAAAATCAGCGGGTTAAAATACTCGTACTCTCGTGTTAGAGTAGTGTCCGCCTTGTGTCTACAGGGAGTACTGCGTCTTCTCTCTTCTCCTCTCTAGTTTTTTTTTTTTTTTTTTTTTCCCCTGGTTGATTTGGTGCCCTCAGAGCTTGGCCGGGCGCGCCTTATCTCCCCCGCACAGGCCCTCATTTGCAAGCGAGCGTCGGGGAGAGAGCGAAAAAACAGAAAGTAAATAGACGAATATGTGAAGTCGGATAAATAAATAAATAAGGCCGCCCCATCTTGTCCTGTCTGCGGAGGAAATTGGAAGGATTAGTTCCAAACCAGCAACAATGAAAAGGCGCGGGGGCGTGGGGCCAGTGTTGCATCGTGGGTAAACAAGGAGGAGGGAGGAGGAGGGAGGAGGAGGGAGGCGGCGAGCTGTTCCTCTGCGGATTCCCCCCCTAGCTTTGGTTCGCTCATTAACCATTCCCTTCACCTAATCAAGACGACAAAGGGAACACAAGGATGGTTTAGCCACCTTTTGAAGCACCTTGTATGATGCGAGGTAGCCCGGGGGGAGAGCGCGCACTCGGACTTAATGCTGCCGCAGTTCGCTGTACAGTCACGGTGCGAGCGGCAATTACAGCCAAAAATATGCGCTGTTTACGTGTTTACATATGACAATTTGTTCTTTTCTCCAAGTTTGACCTACTTCTCGCACGGTGGACTCATTTAAAGTGCCATGTGTTATTTTCTTTTCATGCAAAATTCGTCTCGCACCGTTACAGTTATATTGTACAAACAGCTTTTTAGGTCAAAATGTTCACTGTTTACTGACTGCATAACATTTCAATATTGTCCAATGTGATCAGGAAGTGTGTGGTTTAGCATGCTAGTTGTCATGAAAAGCGCTTCTAAACTCATTGTGGCGGTGAACACTGTTGGGCAAGTTACTTCAAAACTGTAATGTGTTATTTATGACTTGTTACTGTCATTTCAAAGTAATTAGTTACATTACAATATTACTGCGTTTAAAATGTAAAACATTACATGACTATTGCATTACGTTTAAGTTACTCTCACTCTAACAGTGAAGATGCTGAACTTTTGTGCCGTATATGGACAAACAAGGTCACTAAACCAGGACTAAACCAAAACTGAACCAGGATTAAACCAGGACCAAACTAGGATTAAACCACAGCGGAACCAGGACTGAACCAGGTTGGAGCGTGGAGTTCTGCGCCGGTCCTTTCGCACGCGGTCACCCGACGGTCTAAGTGGGCGCATGTCCGGTGTTTCACTGCTGCAGATATCAATATTACTTTTTTTTTTTCTTGTAATGCCTTACATTACTGTGTTACAGCAAAAAGCAACGCATTACAGTAATTTGTTACTTTTATAACGCGTTACTCCCAGCACTGGCGGTGAATAATTAGGATGGTCAGAATGTATAAAGTAAGCGAGGAATAACTTTGGATCATCACAAACTACTAGCATGTTAACGTGCACTTCTGGACTTTATAACTGGATGAAAACTGACTTATTTTGACATCAAAATAATAAGTTGCTTATAAAATAATATCTGTACTGAGGCAAGACACATTTTTTTCAGACATGTGGGAAAAATCAGGTACCGGGCTTTTAAAAAAATGAATATGTATGCAGATAATTTGTGTCCATTTATTTTTAAGAACCATGTTTTGACTGTTTTATATTTAACCTTCTTATTTGGGCTGATTGGGACCTGATGATTGCCAAAACTTGTATACTTCATTTTATGCTTTATTTATTGTTAATGATTTGCAAAAACTATTTTTTACTAACTATTGTTTATTACTTACTCACTAACTAATTTACTACTAAACTATTTATTAAGGGTCTGTATTGCTCTATGTTACAATTTTGTATCCTCATCACAAACAGACCTGCAGCTGTGTTTTGTTTCATTCACACATATTTTAACACCCAAACTCAGCACATTTAGTCTGAGTTCTTCTCTCAAACACTCTGTTCCACCTTGTGATGTCATGTGGTAAGTCCTCCATTGTGTTTTTAAACTCCATAAACCTTCACTAGAATCATTTGGATCACCTCAATCCTGGAATTACCAATCTCTGCTGAACAAAAGTTAAAAAGTAGCCGTTCACTTGAAAATTTCAGCTTCATGACATCACAAGGTGGAACAGAGCATTTTGAGTCTTGGAGATGTAGACAGACATATGGGAATGAAACAAAACACAACTTCAGGTTTGTTTTTGAGGATGTAACATATATTGTTATTATAATTATAGCATGACTTAAAGCTCACAAGAGTCACTTTGGCGTAATATCAGACCTTTAAAATCTGAACTGGAGAGAGGCAAGTGTGGTCAAGACAAAGATTAGTTTTAAAACATCACTACAAACTACAACTTTTAATATTACATCTGCACCTATTAGAATCTCCTCTCATTCATCAAACGCAATTAACACAATGGCAAAACTCTACCCCCTCTGTCTTCACTCCAGAACCAACATTGCACCTTTAATTTGGGAGATGTTCTGGCAGCTGCCCCAGAGCTCCCTGCGTGTGCTCATTACGTATTCCTCCACCTAATCACGATGACAATGAGAAGACAAGTACAATTCATCCACCTTTGAACCGTCCGTTTGAAGCACCTTGTATAATGCACAGACCCCGGAGGCCGCGCGGGGGGATCATTGATTGTGTTACAGACTTGAAAGCGTCGACTTGGGGGCCCGAGCATCAGACAAGCATGCATAAATGTTCCACTCGGCTTGTCAATGATGGATCAATCTCTCCCGCTCCCTCCCTTCCTTATATTTCAGATTTAAAGGAGACATATCGTGCTTGTGTCCGCTCCGCACCACTAGTTATAATCTATGACGCCCGAGGATCATTATTATGTCATATTATTGAGCTGAAATGATTTAATAAAAGAAATAACCTCGTTGACTTCTGCGTTTTGAAAGCTGCATTGGCCAATGGGAGCTGATGTCGCCGTAAAAGTCATCACAACAAAGATCATGAAAAGTTGTTGGCGCCTCCTATGGATAGCTGAACATCACACACGAGTAGAGGATTTATTTTATTTTATTTTTCCATTTGTTCCAAAAAGACTATGCAACGCTGCCTAAATCCTACATGTATCACAGTTTAAGAAAATCACAGTAGTAATCCCAGAGTAATGGGCTTGTATCAGTGGTGGTGAAAACGGGGAGTAGATTGATGCAATACTGGTGTATAAAAACTATTGTATTTTTCAGACTATAAGTCACTCCGGAGTATAAGTCGCACCAGCCAAAAAATGTGTAATGAAGAAGAAAAAAACATATAGAAGTCACACTTTTTGGGGGAAATTTAGTTTATAAAATCAGAGAACAGGAACTGACATTTCCCGTTGAAAGTCAAATTCTAGTAATAACAATAGAAGAGAGAACAACAGACTGTTAACATCACATATGAACAGTTCTTCAGATAAATATAACATAAACAACAGAACAGAACAAGTTTACCAAACTCTCCATCTCACTCCAAATCACTAAATCCATTCAATTCTTCATCCTCGGTGTCACTTTTGAGCAACTCCACGACCTCCAGAAGTAAACAAAACGCCGTTTCCTCTTCTGTGTCGTCAGACTCAGCATCAGTTCCAGTTAGAATTATTCGGGTCTTTCTGAATCCCAACAGGATGGTTTCGGTGTCACTGAAGTCCAGGCTTTGTCCATCCATCCAGTGACTTCCAGGAAAGTTGCATGGCGCATCCTCATAGTGTCACAAGTGTCTCGCTCACTCCAAACTTTCTTTCTGCTGCTCGATTACCGTAGCCGCAGATTTCACTATTTGCAACTTGTAATCTTCTTGTCTTTATGAGTTTGTTTAAATGTTAAATTGTTCAGTGGTACAGAAGTAATGGTGCGATCGACTGACATGATACAGACAGAACAGAGGCTCTTTCTGCAGGAGACATGCACAGTAGAGTGAAGTGACAGTGGTACAGGAGTAATAGTAGTAGCAGATACTGACACACAAGACTAGAGCCTCCCATGGCTGTCAGCGTGAAGATTTTAATATATAAGTCTTACCAGAGTATAAGTCACAGGAAACACCAAAACCATGAAAAAAGTGCAAGTTATAGTCCAAAAAATATGGTAAACAAATATGAATGTATTAATATAAATACAACTTCAAGAGAGAAGAGTAAGACAATGAGAAGAGGAAATAACTATAGCGTGGTTAAAAGCTCTAAAAAACGGTTTATTCTGTGTAATCAGTTGATTTCTTTTTTTTTTGTTTCCTTTTTTTGTGAAGTTTGTAATTTTACTTCAAATATATCTTCATGGAGACAAGAAACTGGCGGAGACTGACTGGTTAGAAAAGTTCCACAATGCACCTCTAAAAAGAAAGGTTTACACTTAAATTGCATTACAAGTACTATTGAAACTTTTTACTTTTGACAAATTACGTTTTTTTCAAATTCCAAATATAAAACCAAGCTTTTATTTGTTTCTTTTGCTTTTTTGCAATTTGATTTAGAATTTTTTACCTTACTTTCAGTTAATTAAAAACACTCTCATACATATTCTTCACTATAGTTGAGCTTCCCAAAAACAGAAAACAAAATCTTACGTACGTTTGGATAGAATTTTCGGTGTTCGATTCGTCTCTCATCATCTCTTTCTTTCTCTCCATCCCTCCGTCTCCCTTCCTGCAGTTATGGACGAGTCTATGCAACAGCGGACCCCTACCACCACACGATTGGGCCGGCCGCCACATACAGTGTGGGCACTATGGTAAGTCTACGAGAATCTCTTCTTCTAAACACAACTGAAAACACACACAGTAATCACATGGTACCAGGTAAAGTCACACAGGTAAGGAGCAGGGTCTGAACTTATGATACGCACATGTACACCAAAGAAAATACACATTATGCAGTTTGTTTTGACACGTTTTTACATTTTACACTTGTGACCAATTGAATAGATTTCATTTGCTAACACACTGTGCCCAAAGCAGCTCAAAATGTAGACAAAAAGAAAATCTAAATCAACTGAAAAAAGTTAAACCAGGTCTATAAGAGAACTAATTCAGGTTTAAAAGTGGAGTTCTAAATGAGAAATTATCCAAAAGAGGACAAAAAATGGATCAGATGAACTAAACAAAATTAGGCAAACCCATAAAATTTTTCAAGTTATTAGTTATTTACTTTCTTTTACTACTTTTGTTTTTGAGTTAATCGTGATTTCATTTTTAACTGTTACTAATAAACACTGTTACACATGTTTGACTTTTCATGCTTTACATGTTCCTGGATCCTTCCTGTCATATTTAGTACAAGTACAAAAGTCTCATTCCATTGGCAGATCATTTTACTTGTCAAGTGAAATTTACTCAAACCATGATAAAACTTTCTCAATTCTTGGTTTGGTTTTTGGAGAGTGAGAAAAATAATTGTTACTTCTAAGCTAAACACTGTTAAGTACTGTAAAGTATTTTAACTTTTCAGGTTGGGGGTTGGGGTTAGAAAATAAATAAGAAATAAGATGCATTTGTTCAATTATTGCTCAAAAATACCATTAAGTGTTTAAATTGAGTCTCACATAATCATTTTGCGTTTCTATGAGTCCAATCTGTTCTACAGTTAATTTAACAATTTTGGAAATGTTAATTAAGTAACACTGGACCAAAGTTCCTGTTTAACCCCGAAATCAAGAGTTATTTTCACCTTTTGAGAGTTAACAGATAACACTTTGTTGGGTTATTCTGATTTAGCCAAACAACACACAGAGGCGTTTTATTTATACACTTTATTTATAGTTTGAAGTGGTGGGTGAGAGGTGCCAAATTAACACTAGGGAACGTTGAATAACCACTAAGAGAAGTTGAATTAACACTAGGAGAAGTTGAATTAACAGTAGAGGAAGTTGAATTAACACTAGAGGAAGTTGAATTAACAGTAGGAGAAGTTGAATTAACAGTAGGAGAAGTTGAATTAACAGTAGGAGAAGTTGATTTAACACTAGAGGAAGTTGAATTAATTTCAACCATATCAACTTTGGCAAATAACCCCAAGCCAAACCACCATTTAACTTTCAAATAGTTAAAATAACACTCTTTTGTGTTAAAAACAACTCTGAAATATGTCACCCTGAAATTTTAACCCTCCAGTTTTGCTTTGTGCGTTCTTACTGTAAATTGGCCCAGTGGTGTCTCCTCCTTCTGTTTCTGTTTCTACCGAGGTTGAAAAGTTTAATGCCACACTTTGGAATATTGTATTGGAGGTAAAGCAATAACATCTCCATGGAGACAAGAATCCGGCTCGCCCTCTACCAGAAAAGCTACACAATGCGCCTTTAAAAAGAATGGTTTACACTTTTAAATTCCATGCGCCATTGAATCTTTTTACTTTTGACAAATTACACTTTTTTTTTTTTTCAAATTTCAAATATAAAACAAAGCTTTTATTTGTTTCTCTTTCCTTTTTGCGATTTTATTTATTTATTTTTTTTACCCTACTTTCAGTTAATTAAAACCACTCTGATACATCTTCTCCAGTATAGTTAAACCTCCCAAAAATAGAACACAAAATCTCACGTACGTTCTGCACTGCTGCCTGTAGATTTGAAATTCTTTTTAATATGTCCTATAAAAGTCTGGGGGTCCTTTCATAATTTTATAATCCAGAATTAAACCCCAACTTCAAAGCTCCAGTTCATCTTTAATGCACGGCCGGCTCCTGTTAGTGTTTTTAGGTCAGTGTGTTAGGAGATATGGAAAATACTGCTAACCTCCTCCCTGCGAACGCACACCAGCCAAATGTCTCACACCGCTTCAAACGGAGGAACCAAATTTATATTTAAAAGCTCTATCATTATTTTAACTTTATTTGAACTTTTATTTTATTGTTTCTTCATAGGCTCGCCCCAGTTCAAATGTTCCGCTTTATTTTATTTTGCGCTTTGATACAAAATAAATACGATAAAGTCCATTTGATTCCATTGAGATCTCGCTCGGTTGGTTCGTTATGAATATAGAATCCAAAATTATGAATCCAAAGTTATAAAGAATTCAAATTATATCCAAATTATTACCTAAATTAAATTATAATTATACAATCCAAATTATAATCATCAAAAACATACCTGGAGTTGTGTTTTGTTTCATTTTTTACTGCAAATCCTGCATATTTAGGCTGAAAACACTCTGTTCCACCTTGTGATGTCATCATGTGGTAAAAAAAAAGTGCTCCACTGTGTTTTTAAACTCCATACACCTTCACTAGAATCATTTGGATCATTTCAGATCTCGAATTGCCTACTGAACTAAAAATAAAAGGTATAGGTTTTAACTTGAAAACTACCACTTTATGACATCACAAGGTGGCATTTTGAGCTTTGGAGATGTAAACAGACTAATAATAAAGGGTTATTCAAACATCTGAATGAAACAAAACACAAGTCCAGGTCTGTTTTGGAGAAGGTAACAACCTTATAACATGTCTTAAAGCTCACAAGAGTCGATTTTGTGTAATATAGTGTCTTAAAAGTTGCACTATGTAACATTTCTGAAGGAGCGTATACTACCTGCAAAAACTAAAGCCTAGCCATGTTAAGATGACTTGAATTGAGAATGTTTTAATAAAATTTGAGTAAATTTCACTTCCATTCATCCATTTTCTTCCGCTTTCAGCTGACAAGTAAAATTATCTGGCAGTGGAACAAGACTTTTTGTACTTAAAATATGAATATACATCTTCAACTTTTTGCACTTAAAATAAGAAACAAAATCAAATGCTGCTTGAATTAAGTAAAAGACACTTATTCCATTGGTAGATCATTTGACTTGTCCAGTTGAATCTACTCAAAGAAAGTCAAACGTTCTTAGTTTAAGCCTTTTTAACTTACCTAAATATTGTTTGTCTCGATGGAGATGTTCACTTTGCCTTGAATATTCCACATTATGACATTAAACACATCAGTGCCATTTTTGCTGTACAAGTAGGGCTTGTGGACCTGTACAAAAAACATTTATAATCTTGGGTCGATCATGTTTTATGACAAAGTTATAAGCGTTTTCTTATATATATTTTTTTTATTAGTGCAAAAGAGTTTTCAGCACCTGTGGAGCACATTTAAACCAACTATGCAATCCTGTCTTAGAAGTGAAAGAATGTTAAAACTACACTGTGCGGGGGCTTCTCATGTCAAAATGAAATGCTTCCAGGCGTGAGCTCGCTGTAGAACACAGTGCTGTGGACAGGACAGCCCCATGGCTTTTGCCGCATTTCAAGACATTGTGCCTAAACATAAAAAGTGAAACTGTGGGAAAACTACAAGAAATATCAATGCCATTTTTGGTGTGCAAATAGGGCACATGGACGTGTACAAGATACATTTGGAATCTTGGGTCTATCAGGTTCTATGCTAAAGTTGTAAGCATTTTCATTTGGCTGTGGAGCACTTTTACACCAACTATACTATCCTGTCTTAAAAGTGAAAGAATGTTTAAACTACACTGTGTGGGGGCTTCTATCTTGCAGAGTTTCTTAAGTGTTCCAAAAACTTACTCCGCAGATCTAACTTGTAACTTTGCCTCATGGTGTCACCTGCTTGTATCCACGGCAACTGATAAGTTTAATGCCAAACTGTGGAACAAGACAGATAAAAGCAGTGATGTAGTGGCGAAGTGCACTTTTAATTTAATGTAAGAAACAAAACAAAAAAATAGAGTCACAATCCTGGAATTTTTTATAAAGTGTGTTAGCAAATGAAACACTAAATTCAAAACATATATATGGTGTTCTAAAGGTAAGCAACGATAAAAATACACAACTAAAGGAGCCTGACATCCACACCAGTTCAGATCGTACAGTTTTACTGCATGAAAAAATGATACATGATTTTTTTACTGAAAATTGCATTTTTCTGTGGTGTTTTTTGTTTCTTCTTCTTTCTTTTTTTTTATTTCAACATTTGCATTTGAGACATGTGAAGAATACTGGATCTATACCACACAATTAGTCTATTATTATTCTATTTTAGTAGAATGATCTGATTATAAGCATAGATGTTTCATTAGAATGTTTGTTTTGTTCATTTGTTTGATAGCGCTTCAGCTTCCTCTTGCATTCTACTGTGAAAATACTGCTTGGTTATAATGGGATTGCAAGACTGGACTAAAAAGTGCAGGGGGGTTTTTCCAGCTTTTTTTCCAAATATTGTGTTAAAATCTCAAATCTAAACCCTTGCACTTTCACAGTATAATGATAAAACTACATAGTGAGTCTAGTGAATGAAGTGAATATGGTGAATGTAGCTATAGCGTCTTGGGTAAATGAATAATAAATGAAAGGCTTCGCTCCATGTTGGGAGATGTGAACTTTTGGCTCCTTGTGTGTCCACTATTCTTCTCCTGTCTGATCGTCTGAAGCTCACGTCTGACACTGTGCTGCTCAGAACCTCAACCACATCTTTCATTTGGACGGTTCAGTCCAAAACAACCAAAGCTTTCAAAGGGATGGAGTTCAATTGTTAATGTTTGTTTTTAGCTAGCTTTTGCAGCATCAAAGATGAAAACCCAAGATATCAAATAAATAAACTAACATAAAAACAAAAGGGTATATATATATTTTTTAAAGAATGGATAGAATTTGTGTTTGGTTTTGTTTGAAGAAGGGACCAGGCCCAAAGCTGGAGATTATGGGCGATCAACGCATGCAGCAGAGTGCCGCGGGACAGGGGAGAGAGAGAGAGCGCAGTACGGCCTCTCTACTTTTCTACTACTTCAACTA